GCTTAACTGACTGAGCCACTCAGACACCCAACCACTTGTTAACAGTTTTTAACTTGTTAGGATTCTCTGAAATTTCAGAAAATGATGAAAAGCCATAAATGATTCATTATATTCATAAAAGCATTCAATAATGCTTTTAAAGTACTCGGGTATTTTTAAGTTTATTTATTTAAGAAATCTCTACACCCAACATGGGGCTCAAACTCACAACCCTGAGATCAAGAGTCACATGTTCTATTGACTGAGCCAGCCAGATGCCCTGTACTCATGTATTTTTAATTACTTTATCACCCACTTAACACTTAACAGCAGTACTTATGTGTGAAATTGAGATTCCTGACACACTAGGCATCCCAGATTTATATAATGAAACTGTCATATATAATACCACCCTGCCTTAACTGCCTGTTGGATAAAGCAAAAAAAGGAAATCAGGGCAATTTATATAACTCTAAATGGTTAGAGAAAAGAAAGCAAACAAACCTACTGGGAGAATTTATCTAGTGAGAAATTGCCATTGCTGCTTTCATATTTTCAGATATGAAACCTGAATTTAGTCCAATAACACAGAGATAAATTTCCTAATATTGTTCTGAAAAATGATTTAAAATAATCTGGCAATCCGCCCGAAGTTTCTATTCCTGACACAAAGCTTATTTCCTCCCATTTTTAGACACTCGCACATACACAAAATCACTAACTAAACTGCAAAAAAATCACTAATCTTTTAGTAATCAAAGTAACGGGGGGGGAGTAACAGAAACATGGTCACATAAACAGATATAGCAATTTTCATAAAGATGACAAAATAGGAAAGACAAAAAGATTTATTTAAAAAAAACATTTATTTCAGCAGAAGCACTGAATTTGTATACAGACGAAACTAAAGACTGAAGTAAATAAGTTTTAAAGGAGAGGTTTGGAGAGGAAATGACTCAAAGAGGTAAAGACAGGGAACTCGGGTAGTTTGATTTTTGCTGACAAGTAATGAAATAGTAAATAATTTTCTACCATAAAAAAAGGCTTTTGCCAAATGTTCCAGATAAAGGAAGAAAAAAAGTACACTTAGCACAATTTGAAATAAATGTTATTAACGTTATTTAGGCTTAGGGACAGTCATCTGTGGTGACTGACTTATCACGTTAACATAGATAAAATGCTACCTTAAAATATGAAGTTTGTATTAACCATTGAAAAGACCAGTAGAGTTACAAATAATTTTAACTTTTTTTTCTTTAGAGAATTGATTATTTCCTACGTTAGTTTTAATTTTTCTACAGTGAATCCACTTTAAAGTCCGGGGAAGTCTGCCCTCTACAGCTTTAGGATTTTGTGTGCGTGTGTTTTTGAATTCCTACTGGGATTTTAAGTTTTCTCTAAGACAAGAATGAGGCAAGGTTTCTAGTACTTCTGTTTTCCCATCACAGATCTACTCACAGGTGACCTAAGTAAATGCCGACTGGTGAAGTTTTTTCGCAGGTTTTCTGCCTAATATAATTTTTTTCTGGAAAAGACTCATTAAAGACACACGTGGTTAAGCTCACCCCAAAGTGTGAGAAATTAGGCAATAAATGGATTTTGAGCTTAAAGGAACTATTACAGACAATACAGCTCCTGTAAATTTTTCCATAATGGAACCAGTGTCTATTGATCTCACAAAACCAAGGTCAGCCCTACCTTAACCTCTACGCACCGGTGTAAAATACAAATTAAACTTCTAATCTCTACATCACATGAATAGTATTTACTGATTACCAAGCTAGTCAGAAAAATAAAAATAAAGACCTATTATGGAGAATGTTAAGAAAAAATAGTTGAAGGGCTCCTGGGTGGCTCAGTCAGCTAAGCATCTAAGTTTGGGTCAGGTCATGATCTCAGAGTCATGAGTTTAAGCCCCACATTGGGCTCTCTGTTATCAGCACAGATCCTCTGTCCCTCTCCTCTCTCTGCCCTTCCCCCGCTTGTGTGCTTTCTCTCAAAAATAAATAAACATTAAAAAAATAAAATTAAAGCAAGAAAAACTGTTGGGAAAGTCCCAGAAATGTACTATACATTGAAGCTTTTCAACTTATGCAGGGTATTGATCACGGGAGTCAACCAGAACCCCGGGGATCACTTGTTTACTTAGTCTACAAAATTAAAATTATTTGTTCTTATTTGAAACATACCCAAAGTCCACTATCAAAAAGTATTAAACATGGGGCGCCTGGGTGGCGCAGTTGGTTAAGCGTCCGACTTCAGCCAGGTCACGATCTCGCTGTCCGTGAGTTCGAGCCCCGCGTCGGGCTCTGGGCTGATGGCTAGGAGCCTGGAGCATGTTTCCGATTCTGTGTCTCCCTCTCTCTCTGCCCCTCCCCCGTTCATGATCTGTCTCTCTCTGTCCCAAAAATAAATAAACGTTAAAAAAAAAATGTTTAGAAAAAAAAAAGTATTAAACAACAGGGGTGCCTGGGTGGCGCAGATGGTTGAGCACCTGACTTTTGATTTCAGCTCAGGTTATGCTATCATGGTTTGTGAATTTGAGCCCCGCATTGGGCTCTGTGCTCTCGGTGCGGGGCCTGCTTGGGATTCTCTCTCCTTCTCTCTTTGCTCCTCCCCAACTTGTGCACTCTCTCTCTCTCAAAATAAATAAATAAACTTAAAAAAAAAAACCGTATCAAACAACAGATTGCTGTGGTATAAGGCCGTGGCAAAAAAATGTAATTAAATCTGAGTTAAATCAAAACAATCTTTCAGAAATGAGCTGTCAGGCCACTGTTTCTTGTTTTTCCTTACTGGGACAGCAAAGCCTACAAGAAATAGGTAAGAGCCATTATCTCCTTGTTCAGGTATCAGGTCAACAAGCTTCTCTTCTCATAGGTAATGTCTAAAGCAATTTATCATAGCCTATTGTGCATTACTCTAATTAGATAATAGTTTCCTTTAACACCTAATGAAATCATGGAGTCAGCAAGGAAAGGTGGGGTATCTTGAGAACATTTTTAGAAAGGGTGGAAGGTGAAGATGGAAGTTCTGAACAGTCAGAAGGCAGGATGGTACTAAATATGGGGGGGGGGCAAGGTCAGGAGGATGATTTGTAGAAAGAAAAGGACCCAGTCATAAAATCTTTTCCTACTTTGAAATTCTGCCTGGGGCACTTGAAGGGGTACTTGCCACAAAGTCAGCTCACTGACTGGGCTGTATTAGCACCAGAATTATCTCATCAGATCCTTCAAAGGCTCCACCTCACCTACACTGTGACAGACAGAATAAATGTCAAAGTCTTTAATAACTGAATGATATCTAAATACTGCTCCAGTTATATTTCCATGTGCCCACACGTCCTTTTCAAGTGTCTGTGACTTCAAAGCTGTTGATTCTGCCTGGTTCTTTGTCCCCTTCTCAGATGGGCCAAACTCTACTTATCTTTGAATAAAAAAAAAAAAAAAAAAATTAAAGTGCCTTCCCAAACAAACTCTGACCTCCTTGGGAGGGGACATCTTGTATGTCCCATAGATGAAAGTTGAAAAATGAATAATGAATAAAACTCCCTAGTCTGAGATTACACCATTCAAACAATATGAGGTAGTCACTATCAGTATAATAAGTATAGGTCAATTTTTTTTCACATGTTTGGGTTTTCCAAAGTTGGTCCTGATGTGGAGAAGCTGGATAGCAACCAAAATGATTGAAAGGCTGTGGCATTAGCACTAGTTAGTAAAGAATCTGGGATATTAAACTGGGAGGAAAAAAACATCTGGGAAGAAGGGACTAGCAAATAATAAACACCATTTACCAGAGAGTAGAGAAGGTAGTTGCTGTTCGTTTTTAATGGAGAATTAGAAATGTATTATACACAGAGGGAACTACTGAAAAGATTTCTTACCACAGAAAGGCAAGACAGTGGAGTTGACTACTAAGGGAATCTGTGAGTCTTACAATAATTACCCCAGAGTTGTTTTGATAATTATATAAAACTCGAATCAAAGACCTGGCACAATGCCTTGTTCACATGATGGTTATTATTTTCTCTCACTAAGCATTCTTTAAAGGCTGTCAGAAAACTTCTGGCCACCTAGGAAAATGCAATATAACCAAATAATGCTTAAATTCTTTCTCTTCCAAGAAGTCATCTATAATTACAGCCTCCACATCATTCTCCCTATTGGAATGTCCAATTATATAAAAACACGCTGCCTGGATCCGCCTACTAATCGGGTTAGCAGGAAAGACTGGGAAAGGCTACATTTTGTCCAAAGAAAGGAGGACTTAATCAGCAATTACTCGGCACTTTCAGGCTATCGAAACATTTGGGCGGGGGTGGGGGGAGGTGGTGCGGGGATTCAAATATGATGACCTTATTTTCCAAATACACGCTAGGACTCAGGTTCTGATAAGTGCCAGTACCAACAAAGAACAAAAGGGCCTGACCAGGAGAAGACGACCTCAGACACCGAAGGTAAAGAAAGAAGATCCAACTTAAGTAGAAGGTGGCGGAGCTAGGACTTGGCTAGCAAGGAACTGGAAATTTCATGTGTTAGAGTGGAGTCTGAAGCAGGGACCTGACACAGGAAAACCTCACAGGGAAAGGGGCCCAGGAAAGCAGACGAGAGACCACTAGACCAAAAAAAGGAAAAGACACCGAGGAACAGCCACAAAGCCACAGATGCCAGCCTCATACCTGCGCTTCCCGCTTTCCTCCTCGGCGCCTCGTGATGACCTCACCTGTGGGCGCCCAATCCCATCTAGCGCTGGGCGCGGGGCGCCTCAGCCAAACAGTCACATCCGGGGCCGAGAGGAACCGCGAGCGAGCTGGGCGTGCGCCCTTGCTTCGTGCCCTCAACCAGTATGGCGGAGCCACGGGCGCGCCGCGGGGAGGCCGTGCGAGTCGGGCGGTTCCGACGCCCGCGCTGAGCCGGGGAGGAGGGGCGGGGGACGCCCGTGCGGCCGGTGCGTCTGCCCTCAGTGAGGCGGGGCGCGCGGCGGACGCCCCCGGGCAGGGGCGGGAGTGGTGGAGGGCCGGTGGTTGGCTGTGAAAGGGGCGGTGAGCGAGGTGCTTAGGTCTCAAGGCGAGGCTTGGCCTCCCCAGCAGAGACGGGGGGAAGAGGCGGCGGCAGCGGCGGCCCTTGGGCCGGCTGGTGAGGCGATGGCGGCACCAGCCCCGGGGCCTGGCGGAGCCTCTGGTGGCGCTGGCTGTAGCGGCGGCGGCGGCGCGGTCGGCGGCTCGGGATCCGGGTCCGCGGGCGCAGGGGGCCGGCTGCCCAGCCGGGTGCTGGAGTTGGTGTTTTCCTACCTGGAGCTGTCCGAGCTGCGGAGCTGCGCCCTGGTGTGCAAGCACTGGTACCGCTGCCTGCACGGTGATGAGAACAGCGAGGTGTGGCGGAGCCTTTGCGCCCGCCGCCTGGCAGAAGAGGCTCTGCGCACGGACATCCTCTGCAACCTGCCCAGCTACAAGGCCAAGGTGAGGGAGCCCCGGGCCACGCCGCTGCCCCCAGTCCCGCTTCTCTGCGCCGCTCTCAATCTCAGTGCTTCTCATCTGAGCTCTGACTCAGACGCCTCGCCTCACCATCCCGCCTTTGCACGGCTGCAGTCTGTACCTTACTTCACGTCCCCCTCCATGAAGATCCTCTCTTCTCTTTGAAGTTCTGCTCCTTAAACCTACCCCCCTCACTTCCGTGATACACTTTTTAAAGGACCAGATAGTTTCCAGTTACTGGTTTCCATCACTCATTCCACTTTCCACAGACTTCCCCCATAAAGACAGACCACCCCCATTGTTGTGCCATTCAATACTTTCCCATTTTTTATTAGATCATCTTAGCTGCCTTAACACCGGCTGGATTTCTAAGATCTTTGCTTTCACCCCACATTCACCTCACTCTTTTCAAGCTGTGACTTATAACTATTTTATTCTATTTTCGCCTAAGTTCTCTTTCATTCCCTCGATTATGTTTCAGACTTGTAAGTGAGTGTAGTCCTAGACATCCTGCTAACTTTCAAATTACAGGTTTGAATAGAACATCCTCTCCCCTTCCCCGTCAGCACCATTTAACCATCCTAATACTGCCTTGTTCCACTATTGGCTAACTTCCCTGCCAACTTTTTCATAGTTCCACCTTGATGGTGTGCCTCTTCTATTCTGTGTGTCATCTTATGTGCTGATTCTGGTTTTGATGCCTTTTCCCCCTAGATTCTTGTGCACATTCCTATCTTTTTCATATACAAATAAAAATTTCAAGTAACAGGTTATGGTAGGGCTGAGAAGATTCTCCAGGCAATATAAACAAAGACCTCGAGTTTGAATTCAGTTGGATGGATAACAGCTATTAAGTATAGCAGTCACCAAGAGCATATGTGAGAGAGGATGAAGTCTGTCCTAGAATGTGGTAAACATAAAAAATACATTAATAACTAAAAAAAGGAGATACCCTTTTTAAAGCTAGACTGCCAAAGGGGGGGTCAGAGTAAAGTAAAATTTTTTTCCCTGTGTGAAATAGATGTAAAATTTATTCTTCTGTAATAAAGCAGGTTTTAGTTCAATAAGATAAGGAATGTTGCAATTAAGTATGTCAACTATCAAATTAGTTTTTTTCTATTAAGTGAAATAGCACATTAATTTTTTTTAAGTTTATTTATTTTGAGGGAGAGCACGTGCACAAGTGAGTGGGAGGGGAGCAGAGAAAGAGGAAAAGAGAATCCCAAGCAGGCTCTGGGCTATCAGTGCGGAGCTGGACGTGGAGCTCGATCTCACAAAATGAAATGTGAAATCATGACATGAGCTGAAATCAAGAGTCAGTGCTTAACCGACTGAGCCACCCAGGTGCCCCAACACATTAATTTACACATGGTGGATACTCAGTGGATACTAGTTGTAATTTATGTAGTAGCATGCAGAACATTGCAGTTTTATCAGGCAAAGTAGGCTTTAAGACATTTTTGTAATTGGTCTGTAAAAGATACATTTACATGAGTCAGGATTCATATGACAGTATGTGTTAGTGTGTTCATGTAAGTCAACATGCAAAAGAAGCAATATAGTATAAGCAAAATGTCTTGCCTTTTGCCCTTGTCTGCCAGCCACCCAGTTTGCCTTCTTGGAGGCAACCTGTGTTACCTGTATCCTTCTAGAGATATTTTAGGTTTCTTAGGTTTTTAATACTTTATATTGTCTTTCTACCACACCCATGATAGGTATTATAGATTTCTACTAATCATATGTTCGTTCAGATGTTGCAGGACACAGGAAGAATGTCTTGAGGATAAAAAGATTAATTCAAAAGAAGTCAGAGACCCTAGTAAGGAAGTCCTCAGTCAAGTAGAGAAGAAAAATGTATAGAAATAATTAACACATGATAGAAATTGCTCCTGTGACATATATATATATATATATAAAACGTATACTCCCAGTATACACACACACACACACACACACACACTAGAATTAGAATTTCAGTGAAAGGAGAGATTTACAAGTTGAGTGGAGGCTTGGAGAGGGTTTGAGGTTAGGATTATATTTGATTTGAATTTTAAAGATAGGGAGGATTTGAACATTTTACTAAGAAGAAATACTCTGAAAAAAGTAGGACAAGAGGAAAGCAAAGGCTTTGCACAGCATATATGTTTACTTTAAAAAGGGTGATCTCCAGGCACTATGCTCACTTTTGCAGATGCAATGATGAATAAAAACAGACACAAAACTCTTAATAGATGCCTTGCTTATGGAGCTTAGAGTCTCGTGGGGGGAAATAGATATTAATCAAATACACAGTTGTAAAATTGCATCTGTGGTAGGTGCTATGAAGGAGAGAGAGGTGCACAGTGCTCTGAATGTCAGAGATGGAGGATTTGACCTAGGTATGGAGGTCAAGAAAGGCTTTCCTCTGAGGAAATAATGCATGTCCTGAGACCTGAACAATAAAGCCAAGGGGAGAGAGAAGACTTCCGGGACAGAACTTGATGATTATGAGGGACAGAGAATACATCAGTGTGGCTGAATCAGAACAAAGGTGAGACAGGTTTGAGAGAAGATGGAAGAGGTGGAGTGAGGCCAAACTACAGGGAAGCCATTTTGGATTAGAAGCAAGAGGGGGTTAGGAGTGTGGGGATTGGTGATGTGATTTTTTTTTTTTTTTTTTTTTGCATTTTTAAGAGGTTATTTCTGACTTTGGTATGGAGAACAGATTGGAGGGGGACCTTAGAAATATGGATAGATCCGCTAGGAAGTGGGTAGTGGAGGAGATGGGGAGAAACAAGAAAGATTTAGGAAGTAAAACCTACAGGATTTGGTAATAGATTTGAAATAGGGGTGAGAAAGAGGGAGGTGTTAAGAATGACTCCTAGATATCTAGCTTACATAATATGAGAATCACCTGGGCTAGATTTAGGAGAAATAGCAGTGAGTTCAATTTTGGTAGAGTAGAATTTACAGTGTTTTTGAGACATCCGAGAGATTTCAGATAGGCAGCTGTTACAGTTTGGAGCTTAGAGGAAAGGCTAAAGATTTCTATCTTTATATAGGGTCTAGTGAGATTGAGTTGAAGTAGTGGAAAATACAATTATAAAGGTAAGCTGAAACTCATCATGGATGTCCTTGGCATGTAGCCTTCAGTGTATAGTTTGGGCTTTGTTCTACTATTATAAACCATAGAAGTTTGAACAGAGCAGTGACAGATAAGTACTGTGCTTTAGAAAAACTAGGCCATAAGATGAATTGGACAGAACAGGGGTTAGTACCTATACCAGAGGTACCTAAGACCTACCTGAACAAGTGTGTAGAGGAGAGAAGAGGATGGCTGGGAGAGCTATTGCAGAGAACAAATCCATATAGGACAGCTAACTGAGAGTGGGTGAGATGAGGAAGAAGAGTCAGATAGGATTTCCAGGGAGCCTGGGTAACTGGGAGGAGGATGCGGACAGGTGTGGGATAACATAAAACTGGAAAGTATTTGGAATTGCTGGTCTATTTAGGATTTGTCTTCTTTTTGAAAGTTCATATTTTTCATGTTACCAAGGAACATCAATAATTCCAGTCATACTTAGCATCTAAGTATAATATATTCTCAGATTTTCAGACCTAGATCCTAAAGTAGGTCTTAAAGGTGTTTGTTACAATGTAAAATTTAGGTTGTACATGAGACTGTGGGAAAGAAACTATGGATTGTTTTTATTTATTAGTTTGTATATTTATTTTTTCATTTCATCTCAATTGTTCAGTATCCAAATCTAAAAGATAAGCACACTTATAATCACAATATCATCACACCTAAAGTGTAAAGAAATTAACAATAATTCCTTAACATAAACAATGCAGTGTTCAAATTTCTAATTGTTTTATAAATGTCAAATGTTATATTTAAAATTTTCAGTTTATTTAATCAATATCTGTGTAAGGTTCTCATGGCAAACTGCTGATATATATCTCTTAAGGCTATTTTAGCCAACAGATTCACCTACTAACTCCCATTCCTGAAACTTATCTGTTGAAAAAAACCAGGTTGTTTACCCTGTAGAGTTTCCCTCAGTCTGGATTTTGCAGATTCCATTCCAGTAGTGTTCCTTATGCTCTTCTGTCTTAGACTCAGAGAGGTTTGCTCAATTTAGGTGAGATTAGTATTGCTATTGTTTTTGTTCTTGTTGTTTTTCAGTGTATTTTCTATTAGAATCAAGTGGTTGTGTTGGATGCAGACTTAAATGTTGTATGGTGCCAACTGTGGTGGAAAAGAACTTAGGAGAGCAAAATCAGGGAGATTCGGTAGTCGTGGTTAGAATAACTTCATACAAGTGATAAGACTGATTCAGGTTTTAGAAGATACAGTTTATGTTGGAGGAGGAAAGTAGCTATGATACTACAGATAGGGAGAACAACATGAAGTTAGAAAGGGAAATAGGAGGGGCGCCTGGGTGGCTCAGTCGGTTGAGCATCCGACTTCGGCTCAGGTCATGATCTCGCGGTCCGTGAGTTCGAGCCCCACATCGGGCTCTGACAGCTCGGAGCCTGGAGCCTGCCTCAGATTCTGTGTCTCCCTCTCTCTCTGCCCCTCTCCTGCTCATGCTCTGTCTCTCTCTCTCTCTGTCAAAAATAAATAAGCATTAAAAAAAAATTAAAAAAAAAAAAAAAAAAAAGAAAGGGAAATAGGAGGAACCAGACCTGGAGAGCTTTGAAAACCAGGAAGAATAGTAGTTAGTATGGAACCATCAAAGATTATTGAACTGAGATGAAATGTGATAAAGGTGCTGTTTTAGAAAAATAGGTCTGGAAAGAATTTAGGTAGAGAGTTAATTATTGAGTGTAGGAGAGTTTTAGGGGGCAGAGGTATGGTGGTCACCAGAAAAGGGTACAGTGAAGAAAGATTAGTCCGGAGTAATAGGAAGAAGTCATAGCAGTTTGGAGAAGAGGCTGGCAACAGTGTCGTCGTGACAACGAAGGATAGAGAAAAAGCAATTGATATTTGTAAGAATTAGGGAATAGGCATAGGTAATTATCAGTTAAATATTTTATAGTGATTTTATAAAATGTTTTATATTTTCTTGTCTTGATAATAATCTGTTGAATTTTTAAATAATATTTGGGGGACATTTTACTCACCCATTTAATCTTATGTTCTGATATTTTATGTGCTTAAAAGTGTGTTATAATAGGAACAGATAGGAAAATATTTAGAAATACTTTAGTATTGGGGTGCCTGGGTGTCTCAGTCGTTTAAGTGTCCAACTTCGGCTCAGGTCATGATCTCACGGTTCGTGGGTTCGAGCCCCGTCTTGGGCCCTTTGCTGACAGCTCAAAGCTTGGAGCCTGCTTCCGATTCTGCCTCCCTCTCTCTCTCTGCCCCTCCCCTGCTCCTGCTGTGTCTCTCTTTGTCTCTCAAAAATAAATAAAAGTTAAAAAAAAATTTTTTTTAAATACTTCAGTATTACAGCCTCCTGAATCAAGCAGAGTGTTTGTTTGTTTTTTAATGTCTCTGCCCTACAGTGTAATAATGAAGCAGTGAGGTGCTGGCAAATAGGAACTGAACACTGGATGAAGGGGCTAGATACCAGACTTCTCTTTGGGACTCTTGCTCTAGCTACATGTTGACTTTTAGGTCTGTGCCCTCATCCCTGTGTTGCAGTAGGTCCCTTTAAAGCCCTTCCTAATGCTGAAATTCTGTGATTCTGGAGTTGGTGGCTCAGATTAACTAAAGCAGTAGATCCCAGCCTTTGGCTGCTTTGGGGTCATTTGAATAAGAGATTTTCTTTAAAAAAATTTTTTTTTAACGTTTATTTATTTTTGAGACAGAGAGAGACAGAGCATGAACGGGGGAGGCTCAGAGAGAGGGAGACACAGAATCTGAAACAGGCTCCAGGCTCTGAGCTGTCAGCACAGAGCCCGACGCGGGGGCTCGAACTCGCGGACGGTGAGATCATGACCTGAGCCGAAGTCGGCCGCTTAACCGACTGAGCCTCCCAGGCGCCCCAAGGGATTTTCAAAAAACATACAAATCAAAAACTTTAAATTATTAAAGCATGAGAAATGTTTACTATTTAGACAGAGTAGCAATTTCCATACTGCCCTTATTTTGGAAGCTTACAAAACTGATTAGTGAAGATCAACTAATCTGTCATATCTATGGTAGCTGCTCTTAATGACTATCTCTTTATAAATTCTAGTGCTTGAAATTAGATGCTGTCTAAAGGGTTATTTGATTTGGTAAAATGAGAGTAGTGCTGTCTCCATGTATGAGTAATAACTAGCAAGGAGGCTGAGGATCTAACATAGTTTGTGGTTATTAAAATTTTTCATAAACTTTAGAACGGCTATGACTACGTTCTCTATTAAAATACTTTGGGGAAGTAGGGGCGCCTGGGTGGCTCAGTCGGTTAAGCGGCCGACTTCGGCTCAGGTCATGATCTCACGGTCCGCGAGTTCGAGCCCCGCGTCGGGCTCTGTGCTGACAGCTCAGAGCCTGGAGCCTGTTTCAGATTCTGTGTCTCCCTCTCTCTGAGCCTCCCCCGTTCATGCTCTGTCTCTCTCTGTCTCAAAAATAAATAAACGTTAAAAAAAAAATTAAAATATTTTGGGGAGGTACCTGGGTGGCTCAGTTGGCTAAGCGTCCGACTTTAGCTCAGGTAATGATCTCGTGGTATGTAGGTTCGAGCCCTATGCCAGGCTCTTGTGCTGACAGCATAGAGTCTGGGGCCTGCTTTGGATTCTGTGTCTCCCTCTCTCTATGCCCCTCCCCTGCATGCTCACGTGCGCACACGCTCTCCTGCTCTCTAGCAAAATAAACATTAAAAAAATTCTTTTCAATAAAAGTATTTTTTGATGACAGTATTGCCAGCATGAAAACTGTATATCCCTTAACTTTTTGATATAAAAATACTAAATATAAACTAGAGTAGAGGAAATAGTTTAATGAACCTCCCAAACCTATCACCAAGCTTTACCAATGATTAAATATACAGATAATCTAGTTTTGTGTTTACCCTACCCATTCTCTCACTCCAGCCCTGGATATTTCAGAGCAATTCTGAGATATCCTCATGTCATCCATAAACATTTCGGTATTATCTCTAAAATATAAGGATTCTTGTGTATATCTTTTGATATTTTAAGAAGTCTATTTGGAGAAATGATACCATAGTTTAGAATTTTGATAAATAATAAAGCAGTTGGCAGTCATTTTATTTTTTATTTTCTAATGTTTATTTATTTTTGAAAGAGAGAGACAGTACGAGCAAGGGAGGGGCAGAGAGAGAGGGAGACACAGAATCCAAAGCAGGCTTCAGGCTCTGAACTGTCAGCACAGAGCCCGATGCGGGGTTCAAAACCACAGACTGCCATATCATGACCTGAGCTGTTGCTGGAGGCTTAACCAACTAAGCCTCCAGCCACCCAGGCACCCCAGCAGTTATTTTAAATGTTGCATGCATCTTTTGTTAATATTCCATCCTGAAACTAGCCATTTTTTGGAAATACATACTGTATTATTTAAAAATATATAACTTTATTGTCTAAAAACATGTAGCCTAAAACCATGGATACTTTTTAATGTTTGAGAAAAATCAAATTTCTATTTCTTTGGTCTGCTTTTCGTCTTTTCAGGTGCGTGCTTTCCAACATGCCTTCAGCACTAATGACTGCTCCAGGAATGTCTACATTAAGAAAAATGGTTTTACTTTACATCGAAACCCCATTGCTCAGAGTACTGATGGTGCAAGGACCAAGATTGGTTTCAGTGAGGGCCGCCATGCATGGGAAGTGTGGTGGGAAGGCCCTCTGGGCACTGTGGCAGTGATTGGAATTGCTACAAAACGAGCCCCCATGCAATGCCAAGGGTATGTGGCATTACTGGGCAGTGATGACCAGAGCTGGGGCTGGAATCTGGTGGACAATAATCTACTACATAATGGAGAAGTCAATGGCAGTTTTCCACAGTGCAACAATGCACCAAAATATCAGGTGAGAAACTAGGTATTTTCTCAGTTGTGGTCCTTTGTCAAATCACAAATCATTAATTTGTTTTAAGTTCACAAAATTTTATATAGCAGCTTTGTGTGTCTTTTTGGTAATTTAAAAATAAATAGTGTAACTGGCCTTTCTTTGCTACTTTAATAATCTTTTAGTATTTCTGTATTTGTTTCCTAATACATATTGACCTTGAGCTATCTGTCTTTGCTCTAAATCAGGGGTTGGCAAACTTTTTTCTATGTAGGGCAGGTAATAAATATTTCAAGCCTTGTGGTCCCTATGGTCTCTGTCACAACTATTCAACTCTGTTGTTGTAATACAAAAGCAACCATAGATAATATGTAAATGAGTGTTCATAGCTGTGTTCCAGTAAAACCTTATTTATGGGCTGCAAGCAAGATTGGTCCAATGACCATAGTTTGCCAACTCATGCAAGATTGTCCTTTTTCCTGTATCATGTCACATCCAAACCTACTTTTTTCTAGACTTCTCACTCCCAGAAATGTACCTGTGCACATGCGCATACATATTCACCCTCTGCTATTCATTAATCTGTTTGTGGATTCAGAGCCTCTGGAGATGTCAGTGATTTCTATAAGACAGGCAAATTTAGGCAAACTACTGAGTTTTTTTTTTACTCTCTTCATCTTATCTTAATGCCATACTCATTTGATTCTAGGGTCAAAATTATAGTTCCTATTTGTAAATGCCATATGATTAGCATAGAGTCAACAGAGTCTAAAACACAATATTCTGATAAGAAATTGGAAATTTTAGGGGTGCCTGGGTGGCTCAGTCGGTTAAGCATCTGACTTTGGCTCAGGTTGTGATCTCGCGGTTCCTGAGTTCAAGTCCGCATCAGGCTCTATGCTGACAACTCAGAACCTGGAGCCTGCTTCAGATTCTGTGTCTCTCTTTCTCTGCCCCTCCCCTACTTGCACTCTTTCTCTCTCTCTCTCTGAATCTCTCTCTCTCAAAAAATGAATAAACATTAAAAAAAATTAAAAAGAAATTGGAAATTTTAAAGAATTATAGACTTAAGAATAAGAGATATTAGGAGCACCTGGGTGGCTCAGTTGGTGAGCATCTGACTTCAGCCCAGGTCATTATCTTGTGATTCACAAGTTCAAGCCCCACATCAGGCTCTATGCCAGAGCCTGGAGCCTGCTTTGGATGTTGTGTCTCCTCTCTCTGCCCCTCCCCTGCTCATGCTCTGTCTCTCTGTTTCTCTCTCTCTCAAAAGTAAAAAATAATAATAAAAAAGAATAAGGTTATTATTAGAGTCATTTCATAATGATAAAGGAGTTAATCAGATAGAGAGATATAACAACTGTAAATGTATATGCACCTGATAAAACAGCTCTAAAACACATGAGGCAAAAACTTAAAGAACTGAAAGAAGAAATAGGTAAATTAGCAAGTATAGTTGGAGATTTTAGTACTGTCTTTAAGTCTATTTTGTCTGGTGTTAATATAGCAACTTCAACCTTCTTATGCTTACTATTGCAAGGTACCTCTTTTTCCCTATTCTTTTACTTTCAGTCTGTCTTTGTTTAAAATGGGTCTCCTAGCTGGCATATAATTGGGTCTCTTAATCTAACCCAATCTCACAATCTCTGCCTTTTGATTTGAGTGTTTAATCCATTTACATTTAATGTAGCTGTTGGACTACAATTGATATTGTCCTGATCTCTCTGCCTCTGAAGTTGTGTTCTTTTTTAAAAATCTTTTTTCTCTTTGTTTTTTGGATCAGGTAATTTCTATTGCTCTATCTTCAAGTTCATAGATTCTATGGCTATTAGGCCAGGGTAGTGAATTTTGTGTATTGTATTTTTCAACTCTGGAATTTTCATTTGGCTCCTTTTTATAGTTTCCATTTTTCCATTGAGATTGTCTGTCCATTCATTAATATTAGATTTGTCTTTAATTCTTTGCACATATTTATCATAACTGCTTTTAAGTCTTTGTCCACCAAATCCAACGTGTAGGCCTACTTGGAATTGGTTTCTATTGACTGCTTTTTTCCCCCCAGAGTATGAGTTGTACTTTCCTGTTTCTTTTCATATCCAGTAATTTTTAAGTTGAAAATTGGAAATTATAGATAATATACTAGTAATACTGGAATGTTTTGTTTTTAGGAATCACTTTGTTTTTTCTGAAATGTGTGGGTTTTCTTGTTTTAGTAGGCAGTTAACTTGCCTAGATTCTTCAAATTGTGAACTCTGTCTCCCCCATGGTATATAGCAGCTAATGTCTTTGTTGGTTTTTGTTTTGTTTTGTTTTTGCAGCGGGGGAGGTTTGGCTTCTAGCTGCTATCTTACCAGCCTGGTTTTATTGGGGTTTCCCCTGTATCGGTGTAAGACAGTGATTATACAGTGATTTGGTCAGAGTTAATTCTTGGATTTAGGGCTCATCCGCTTTATGGTTCCATTACTTCTGGAGTTCCTCCTCTAAATTTCCAGTTGCTCTGCCATCTCCCAAGTTTTGCTCTCTGACACCTAAAGCTAGTAAGACTTTTGCTTTCTGTTCTCTGTGCTGTGTACATGCTGTATGCTCAGTCAAAGGTAAAACAGATACGCAAATTTCACCAGGAGTGGTTCTGTCATCTTAGTTTCCATCTTCCGTAAAATAGGGAGAAATCCTAGGATAGATGTGAGGATTAAATGAGATAATACAAATAAACCACAAAATGAATACCAACAAAATATTAACTTTTCATTTCTATTTGCTGTTGTTTGTTTTGTTGGTGGCAATAGTGGTGATGGTAATTAGGATGTTCGTAGGTCCATAAAATGGGGTGTTAGTTAATCTATGAGTTGGGCAAAGAGAAGAAAAAAGTAAATGTTTGTAGTTGTCTATGACAGGAAGTACAATGAGGGAAAGTAACAATAGCAGGAGTTATCATAATTGGGAAGTATTAAATTCTGACTTTTGATTGCTAATGTTAGGACTTTCTGCCTCCAAGTATGTAAATAAAACAACCTTTTATAGATGCAAATTATAAAAGTAAAATATCCTTCTGTCCTTGTTTGTCTGCACTTTTCCATGTAGGAAAATAACTGGATGTATTGTGCTTCTGCTTTAGTTTGCTGTTTTTATAACAAACAGGTGTTTCAGAGCAGTGGCCCATAAAATGACTAATAAGCCTATTCTGCATCTTTAGAACCTATGGTCAGATTTGGTTCTTCATGATTATATAAGTTCCACACTGTTTGAAGAACTGTTTTGTCAACTTTAAAGGTTATATGAGTGTTTTTATTATGGTAATTTTTATTGTGATAAAACATACACCTTTATTATTTTAACCATTTGTAAGTATACAGTGCAGTGGCATTAATACATTCACAATATGTTTATCCATCACCACTATCTATACCTAAGACTTTTTCATCATCCGCAGCACAAACTCTATGCTCATTAAGCAATAACTTCTCATCTCTCCTTTCCTCCATCCTCTGGTAACCTCTATTCTATTTTCTGACTCTACGATTTGAATATTGTAGGTGCTTTATATAAGTAGAATCATACAAATATATATTTTTGTGTCTGGCTTATTTCACATAACATAACATTTTCTTTTTTTTTTTTTAATTTTTTTTTTTAACGTTTATTTATTTTTGAGACAGTGAGAGACAGAGCATGAACGGGGGAGGGTCAGAGAGAGAGGGAGATACAGAATCTGAAACAGGCTCCAGGCTCTGAGCTGCCAGCACAGAGCCTGACGCGGGGCTCGAACTCACGGACAGCGAGATCATGACCTGAGCCGAAGTCGGCCGCTTAACCGACTGAGCCACCCAGGCGCCCCTAACATAACATTTTCAAGGATCATCTGTGTTATAGCATATATCAAAATTGCATTTCTTTTTATGGCTGAATAATATTCCGTTGTATATACATATTGTAATAATTTGAAAAGGTTAGATAGACATTTTTGGTAAAATATACCAAGTTACAGATTTTAGTGGTAAACTTCTAAGAAAAGCCTTTAAACAAAGAGTAAATAAAATCTGGGAACTGTTCAGTAGGAACATTTAAATTTTTGGTATTAAATGCAGATCCCATCTTAAAAAAAAAAAAACTATTGGGCACCTGGATGGGTCAGTCAGTTAAGTGTTGGACTCTTGATTTTGGCTCAGGTCATGATCTTGTGGTCATGAGACCGAGCCCCACCTAGGGCTCCCGGCTGGGCATGGATCCTGCTTAAGACTTTTCTCTCTCCCTCTCCCTCTGCCCCTCCCCAGCTCACTCACTTGCATGCACATGCGCACTCTCACTCTCTCTAAAAAGAAAAAAAAGAAAAAGAAATTGGGGCACATGGGTGGCTCAGTCAGTTGAGTGTCCAACTTCGACTTAGGTCATGATCTTGCGGGTCACGAGTTTGAGCCCCTTGTTAGACTATATATTCTTAATATTTTAACTTATTGATTTGTATCTTATTTCTTCTAGCTATGCCCTTGGTGAGTTTTCTTCTAACCTTCTTTTGGTGTCTATTTTCAGATAGGAGAAAGAATTCGAGTCATTTTGGACATGGAAGATAAGACTTTAGCTTTTGAACGTGGATATGAGTTCCTGGGGGTTGCCTTTAGAGGACTTCCAAAGGCCTGCTTATATCCAGCAGTTTCTGCTGTATATGGCAACACAGAAGTGACTTTGGTTTACCTTGGAAAACCTTTGGATGGATGACAGTGGCTTTCTTGGGATGAAAAACTGAATGGAGAAGATACCTGCTTGTGGAAAGTAGAATCATGAAGTGACAGTGTCATACATGCATGCCCAAGAAACATCCTGAAAAACACATGAAATTGTTAACTGGAGAAGCAACTCTACAGCAGAGATTATCTTAGTGTTTCCTCTTTCTACTGGGCCAGAAAAATCCTCAGGGTTGCAGTTGGTTGAGTGGGCAGTTGACATATGCATGTTGCAACAGATTTTGTCTCTAAGTTAGCAATGTGTTATTTCCAACTTTTAAGGTGAGATTTTAGAGATGCTATAAAAGGGATAAGATAAGGAAATAGCAAGATTTTTAAGTAGTGTGTTTGTGAAGAAAGACTGATCCTGTTTTACAACTGCCTGTTTTTTCTCCAGACCCTTTTTTCCAGCCAGCTTGACTATTAGAAAAGTATGAAACTGGTTGGGTTTTATTTAATATTTTTAATATATTGAGAAGCATGGTCTGCCTGGACTGCACTTCTCTAACAGTGAGATGTAAAATTGTGCAGCTATTTTAAAAGTTGTATATATAATAAGTGTGTAAAAAAACCTGTAAAAACAAAAACAGGACAAAGGGGTTGCTTTGTTCTAGTTCAATTTCTTAAAAACCACTACATGGTACAAAATTAGAATAACGTTTAGGGAAAATTAGGTAACTACAAAGAAGAGGATTAAGAGGAGATGTGCTGTATTGGCTCATTTTTAAATTAATTTGGTTTACAGTTTCCATAGCTATTACAGTCTGGTTATTTTTCTTTTAATGATCAAAATTATTGTAAAGATCCCTCAGTCTCTTGAGTTTAAGATTGAGGGAAGGCAAATCTATTTCTAATCATACATGTATCAGTAGTAATAAGAATAATGTGCATCTTATAGTATCTGGTTTTATTTTTTGGCCTTCTGAGAAAGTATCTCATAACAACACAGAACATTGCCATTTGCTCTTACAGGCCTCAAATATGAAAGCTGTTAGTCACAGACCTAAGGAAGAGAATTAATGGTCCTTTTATTTTGTAATTTCATAATGCTATAGATATTATAATTTTTTTTTAAATTTTATATTGTTTACATCATGGCAACAAATCTAAGCCTCAGACTCTTCATTGGGGTTATCAAGAAAATGTTTACTCACCCACCTGAAACAGTGCCAGCCTGAACCCAGGTTAAGAATGTTCTTAATCTCATCATAGATAATTGCCCCCATGGGACTTGAAATAAAATACCTTGTGCTGAAAACTTCAGGTTGGCAATATTTTGAAGGTTTCATTGTAGAAGAGCTTGACATTAGTTTTTGACTAATAAATCTGATTTCACTAATATTCTTGAGTTAATCTAACATACATGAGCAGAGATTTTCTTTTGTTAGAAGAGAAACAAACATCCTTCCGTATGAAAGTATAAATGTATGGTTTCAGATGCATCTTTGTGATAAGAATTGACTAAGGCAGATGAAATCTTTGCCTTTTAGGTTATTGTGCGTAATTTTGTTTTAAATCTAATCAAATTAGAGATACCAAGCACCTGGCTGGGGTTCTTAACTCCTTGAGAGTTAAGCTTATCAGTACTCTCATGAAGCAGGGGATTTCAGTCATGAACAAAGCTTTATTTTTGCCACCTGACAGGTTTACAAATATTTATTGTGTATTTGGTATGTTGCTTAAAGGTGAAATCCGTTAAAAGTCCTTTTCAATATCCATGTCAAGAAGAAACCTCCTGAAAAACCATATTTAATAGTACAGAGTAAGACTATATGTTAAATGTATTAGAGAATATAGCTGCTACAGAAATTGATTTTTCTTGGTGTAGAACAACTCAATTTAATTGGCAAAGTTTAAAATTTAAAGAAAACTGGTTCAGGATGAAGATTGATAAATGATAAAACAATAAAGTCCCTTATGTGCTTGGTCTTTTTTCAGGGTATGATATAGCCAATTCCAAGAGCGTTTGCGAGAGTTTTGTTTATAAATTGTTTTGTCTTATTAGTAAACATTCATTTGTAACAAAGTTTTGAAGGTGCTGAATGGAAAACAGAAACATGGGGTTATTGCACATTGAACCTAGAATCAAATAATTGCCTAAATATTTAACAAAAAGCCATTCTTATCTCAAAACTGAAATTCTCTAATACGTTATTTGCAATTTTATAGAATGGAGGTCATATTTAGAATGAGCGTCAGGGGAATGAAGAACCTTCATTTGTAACTTGGTAAAGTATTTTATTACTGGATACCAATAGCTGTACAGAGAATATTAAACCAAACTATTACAATGTTCAAGGAAAAGGAATCTCTTTTTCATTGGTGCTGAGAGAGCATTCAGGTAGAAGATGTTGCACCTGAAAGTTGAGTGTCAGTCCTCTAAACCAGTGGTTCTCAAACTTAGCTGTACTTTGGAGTCATCTACATTTTGAAAAATCTTGACGCTTTTAGGGTCTCATACCCTAAAATTCTGATGTTGTTCTGATGTTGGACATGGTCATAAGGATTTTTTTAAGCTTCCTAGGTGATTTCAATATGCTGCTAAGGTTGAGTTTTAAATTCACCTTAAGTTTTCTCATCTGCAAAATTAAAAAAAAAAAAATAATCCCTGCTCCCTTCACTACCTCACAAGTATATTGAGGGTAAAGGAGAAAATAATGGGAAAGTACTTGTGTGATGGATAAAAAGTGCTATTGAAAGGCAAAGTAGTATTTGTTGTATTTCAACTGAAACTATGATCAGGAAAGAAAAATATGTAATTGAATTTACTTTGTTGACTTGGGAAACCGGGAGCGTTCTCTTTGGTTCTTAACTTTAGTGAAGCATGCAGATGTGCAAACACTCAATACTATTACTCTTACTCATACTATGGTCTTCTGTCATACTTGAGATAGGCTGTTTTAATTATCTGGTTCTACATAGGAAAGAAACATTAAGGCTTAAATTCTGTAATGGCCAATGGCTCACAATTCATTAAAACTTTTCATACAAGGAGTTCTGTGGTTAATATATGTAATCATTTCATAGTTGCCATTTGTTTTCATTATCTGACTTGATTATTAAGCCATTTATTTCATCTCCTTCATTCTTACTCATGTAAATTTAGGTATAGATTTTATAAAGCACATAGAGCAAGTAGGTTTTGCCCAGTTGACTAAAGTCATGGCTAAATGAATAGGCATCATCTGCCTTTTAGATATGATTTAACTTGGGAAAGAGAGTTACAAAAATAACAGCCCAAAACCATACAGTAGGTATTATAATTAACTTATAATTTAAGTCCCCAAACTGCTGTTTATATAAACTATAATATTAATATTTTTTGATCTTTAAAAAAAATGAACAGTTTTGAAGAGATAGAAATGTAAAGAGTTTTAAACATTACTTCCTGGAAATCAAGACCATCTCAATTAGGACCACTCTGAAGTCTTTCTGGAAGGAACAGTCCATACCCAATCCAAATACTGTCCTCATAAAGCATTCCTAATTTATCTAGCTGAATGTAACTTCTCCTTCCTTCAAATTTCCCTATTTTTATATTTATCTATACTTAACTCATGCTATATTACTTTATACCTTGTATAAATTTATTTGTATTTATTATTTTTTGGTGTCTTATCTCCTCTAAACATCTTAGGACAGGATCTCTGATGGACTCATCTTTATGCCCACATCATCTAAGCCCAATAGGCAGGTGCTCACACATTTCCTGAAGGAACAGAGAAAGAATTATGTAGGGACACTAAAGCTGCTCTGAAGTTACAGACTATATTAACAAAAGATAGATGAGAAAGAAATTCTGTATCCTATTTTAAGTGAAGCACGAAGGAAAGGGACGTAAATCTGAGGTTAATAAGGAAGAAATAATGACTGTGAATGCATTTTAGCCATTCCCCTTTATGCTTAAATATTGATAAACTGATTTTTAGTTTTGGGTGTAAATTTCATATTTGTTTAGAATTAAAATTAGAATTCTGTATTTTAATTTTTTTGAAATTCTGTCGTTTTGCTTTAGTTTCTTAATAAAAAGTTAAAAACAAACATTAACCACCTGTGATTGCTTACATTTGAAACAACTTATATATATATTGGTCGGAAAGGAAAACTGAGGTAGCTTAATAGCCAAATGTGATGGAATCTATGTATAAGTTGCATGTCTTTTAATAATGGAATCCACATTTCCCATGTTTAGCATGGGAGGTGAACAGGAAATAGTAATTCACGAGGAACCTGTTCCCCCATTACATCTACCCCAGCTAACAGTTGTTTGATAATGTTTGCCAAGAGTTACAAGAGGCAAGCATGGCTGAACTAATTGCTCCTGTGATCCAAAAGCTTAAAAGAGAATTTAGTTGATCATGTTGCCAAAAGTTGCTTGATGTATTAGTATGTTCAAATTTTACAAAGGGTTTTAATTTCCTAAGAAGAAAAGTAGGTGTAAAATTTCTGTATCTTTTGTTTAGGGAGAGCTTTACTAATCTGTTGTCCTAATTTCTTTTCTTGGATCCTCCCCCGAACCATTTGCTTTTTATTTAATGTATTCATTAAAATATTATTGAGGGCAAATTCTATCCTCTTCAGTATATGGTTCATTAAAAGAAATAGCCTCTCAGAATTTAAAATTGTTGTTAATCAGCTTGTGTATATAGGACTTCGTGATAAGTGACTTAGGAAGTAATCGTTTAGGGAGTTTTCTTTAGGTTACCCTGTTGACAGTCCTTAATTTCTGTTTCTTTTTAGACAAGAAAACAAGAGTTCAGGGAAATCAAGTCCTGTCGTATGATATTTAGCAAGTCATAGTATTTCTGCTACCTTTTCTCCTCTAGAAATAAATGGGTGGGGGGTGAAATTGAGTATTGGGGATAGGTTTTGTGGTCCTGTCTCCCTTGAAACCAGCTCCTTGCAGTAATTTATTAAAATGCTAATATCCAAAGTTAGGTTAATTAAAGGCATATTGTAGTGGAAATAACCAGATACCTTTGTTTATTTTAGTGTAGCTAACCTGTTGACATTTTCCAACCAGTGTTTAAAAGGTCTTTCAAAAATAAATAAATAAAAGGTCTTTCAGAGGCACTTAGGTGGCTCAGTCGGTTAAGCATCTGACTCTTGATTTCAGCTCACGTCATGGTCTCATGGTTCATGATCAAACCTCGCATTGGACTCCACGCTGATGGTGCAGAGCCTGCTTGGGATTCCGTCTCTCTTTCTCTCTCTGCCCCTTCCACACACAGTCTCTCTCTCCCTCTCAAAATAAATAAATAAACTTAGAAAAAACTGAGTCTTAGAAGATGAATACGAGTTAGGTTAGATCCACTCTTGTAGGTGCATGGAGTAGCATGTATGTGATACAGAGGCATAAGTGGATCCAGTATGTATGGAAACTGTGCACACTGGAAGAGTAGTGGGAGAGGATATGGAGCCAGGGATTTGGGGCCAGACCATAATTGCCATGCTAAGGAGTTTGGGTTTCATCCTATTTTTCATGGGGAAGCCATTCAGAGGCTTTCGAGCAGAGGCATGGCATGATTTGTGGGCTTTAACAATTACTCTTGCTGCAAAAGGCAGTGATAGAAAAACGGAGATGCGTCAGGAAGTCTAGGCAGGAAGTGACTGTAAAGATGTAGAGGAAAGATGTATTTAAGAGACATTCAGGAAGATAAATGGAGACCATTTGTGGGTAGAGGATGAGGCACTTTTTTTGGTGCGGATGTTTGGGACAATCATGGTACTCTATTAGGATAAGGAATTGAAAAGGAGGAATAGATTGGAGCAGGAGGTGATGCATTCAGTCTTGAACATGTTGAATCTGAGGTAGAAATACACAAAAAGCAGTTAAAACTACTGTCTGGATTAGGGAGAGAGCCAACAGGCTGCTGAATAGGGAGTGAGAGGTGCTGGCACGTTGCTTTCCTCACTGGTTCTACCAGCCCTGCTGGGCCCCACAACCCCGTGGGCAGAGTGAGGGGCGGGGATGCCTGGAGTACCTGGAAAGACAACTACTTGCCCCTCCACCATGGTGGGTTGTTTGTTTTTTGTTTTAGCTCTTGTGTGCCCTACTCCTGTAACAATCCCAGCACTTCAAATGTTTTAATGCCTCTTTTTAAATTTTTAAATTTCCTATCATTTTGGTTTTCAGGCAAGAACACTGGAGTCGTAGGTTCTAGGTCCTAAGCAGATTTCTTCCCTTACTAGGGCCATTTCTTTATCTGAGGTTGACCCAGCTTGATGGTTTTCATTTTGGGATGTCCACTAGAATCACCTGGGGCGCTTTTAATTTTTTAAACAGCTTGAGTGTAACTGGCATACAAAAGGTTATACATATTAAACTGTGCAATTTGGTAAGTTTTGACATCTGTATACATCCATCACGGTCAGGAGACTATATATCTGGGAAGTTTTTAAAAGGTAAGATGCCCAGGCAGATTAAATTAGCATGGGGGATGGACTCAGGCATCAGTGTCACGGTTTTTTTTGTGTGTGTGTTTTATATGTTTTTATTTTTTTAAAGTTCCCAGATAATTCTCATTCAAACTAGGGGATCACCATTCAGGACTGACTTTTGAGGAGCCTGAGAGTAGAAGCAAAATCTCTTGTTTTATGACCAGGAAAAGCAGAAAACAAAAAAACAAACAAACAAAAACCAAAAAAGCAACTGGCCATACACTAAGAACAAGTCAATGTCAGAGCCAGAGCTAGTACTGAAGGCATCTAATATCTCTTCTATTGGTCCTTCTATGACCCTTAGTGAGCTAGATGTATGTAGTCATTTAAAAGAGGTCAGTGTCCTTATCAGGATTCTTTCAGGGACGGTGGATTTGGTATCCTTCCTGAAGGATAGCAAAGGGTATAGTAAGCAAAGGATAGTAAGGGTAGCAATGAAATTTCAGTGTGAAACCAAAGCTGAGAAGCTGTATCTGTGGTTTGTCACATCTTAGAATCAAACTTTTTACCGCTCTAAAAAAATAGAGATCTAATCATTCAAAATTGCAGCAGGAAAAAAATAATAAAACCTTGTGTTATGGGTTGGATTGTGGCTCCCCAAAATTCATATGTTGAAGTCCTAATCCCCAGTACCTCAAAGTGTGACCTTATTTGGAAATAGAGTAATTGCTTGTAATTAGTTGAGGTCACACCCAGAGTAGGGTGGGCCTCTAAACCAATGTGATTGGTGTCCTTATGCAAAGTGGATATTTGGTTTTTAAAATTTTTTGTTAATGTGTATTTATTCTTTGAGAAAGAAAACGCAAGCAGGGGAGGGGCAGAGAGAGGGAGACACAGAATCTGAAGCAGGCTCCAGGCTCTGAGCTGTCAGCATCGAGCCCCATGCAGGCTTCCAACTCATGAACCGCAAGATCATGACCTGAGTGAAAGTTGGACGCTTAACTGACTGAGCCACTGAGGCACCCCGTTTTGTTTTGTTTTGTCTTGTTTTTTAAGACAGAGAGAGCACGAGACGGGGAAAGGGGCAGAGGGAGAGAGAGAGAGGAAGAGAGAGAATCTTAAGCAGTCTCCATAGCTCAGTGCAGAGCCCAACATGGGGCTCAATTCCACAAACCTGAGATCATGATCTGAGCTGAAATCAAGAGTCAGATGCTCAACTGACTGAGCCACCCAGGCACCCCATAAAGTGGATATTTGGATACAGACATGCACACAGGGAGAACACCATGTAATGATGAAAGCAGAGATTGGTATAATGAAGCAGAAGCCAAGGAACGCCAAAGATTGTGAGCAAACCCCCAGATGCTAGGAAAGAGGCAAAGAACAGATTCCTCCCTTGCGGCTCTCAGAAGGAACCCACTCTGTCCACACTTTGGTCTCAGGCTTCTGGCTTCCAGAACAGTGAGATGATACATTTTTGCTGTGTAAGCCACCCAGTGTGTGGTATTTTGCCCCAGGAAATGAATACACATGGTAAGTTTTCTCTCCACCAATTCTGCTATTGCTCTCTGGAGATGACTTCAATGCTTTGTTTGGTGATTTGTTGGAATAAG